ATCAAGTACCTATTTTTCGATGACCAATTAGCTAAATATCTCACTATGTTCTGATATGAATCACAATCAGTAAATTTAAAAGCTTGAACTAAAAATATTCTCAATATATGTATAAGTATTTGAAGTCTTTACACTTTTAAATTAACCAGAATTACATGAAACGCAATGAAAGGCACACAGAACTTCTCATTTAAAGACTGAAAACATAATATTTTACGCATAAAAAACAGTAAATAATGAGCAAAAAACTTCAACTAGAAAAAGTCAAACATTTTTATCACGGAAAACCTGGAAGCACTGGACGGCCGTTTCGTCCTATCTTGGGACTCCCCGGCAGTGCGCATCCACGATTCCACTCGCGAGATTCGAACCCAGGACCTATCGGTCTCGCACACGAGTGCTTAAATTCTAGACTACTGAGCCGGTATCGAATTGTGTTAATGTCTAAGTTCAAATAATCTACGAAATTGAGCGACACATCCACAATTGTCATCAGTGACTTACTATCTCACAACAGATCAGGTTGAACTCCACTGGTCACTGCTTCTCACAATAGGACGAAACGGCGGTCCAGTGCTTTCACTTTTTCCATGGTGGTCTAGCTTCAATTAGTTCATGATCTAAACTAATGAAATTACTATGATCTCCACAAAACCCCTTCTGATATTTTTATCAATCAAGTTTTCTTGAAACAGTGGTAGTATGGTATATAAAAAATTTCCTATTCGTCCTGGACTTCTGATTTGGACATTAAAAGGAATCTGATTTACTTTATTATTGTAATGGCAATTGATATAAGTATCTATCAGATTTAGATCAGTCAATGTATCAACTTAAGTACTTAATCACGTAACATGAAAATATAGGAAAGAAAATCTTACTAACAAAATAGTACTAGTGATTCTGTTTTGTATATTCAATGTCAATCCGTAATCAGTTTCATGAAAATTATGGGAGATTATTTGCTAAATGAACAAAACTGATTTAGAATTGATAACCAGTTAAATTTAAGTCAGGACAAAAAAACACTATTTGACATAGAATTAACATAAATTCGTTTTGACTCTGTATAAAGCAATACAAAAACTAGGAATCGATATGAGATGTTGCATTAGTTAGTTGTATACATGAGATGTGTACATACCGTGGAGGCTTAATTGTTATTGTAGAAGTTATTGACTCCAAGTGATTAACGTATTACAAGGTTGTTTTTACAAAAATACAAAATAATTTCAACTGTTATGTAATTAATTCGAAGAGATAGTAATTTGTACACAAGGTTATTTTAATTGTTTCAGAATAATGTTGTATGAACCATGATAAATTTTTTTTAGATAAAAGTAATAAAATTTTGTTATTCTTTTCAAATTACTTCCCTCACGTCTTTAAAAAGCAACCTACATGGAACATTAAGTGTTACTAGACCCTATTGTGTTAACTGAGAAACCTGAGTCTTAGCAACCTGATAAAATATTATGGATGGTTAAACAAACTGCTTTATGAACTACAGAGATCTAGATAACTTGCATTTATAACAAATCTATTTAAATAAAATAAAACAACGTATGAAATTACTTAATAAATTACTTCGTAAAAGCTAAATAGAGATAAGTAATAAAAATTTTCACAATGGTGTTTATTACAGTGTATATAACGAACGTTCATAATATGAGATTTTATAGAATGTTTATGGTGATGATAGAAACGGTGTAAATTTCACTTGTACTTTGTGCTTAAATATTATCATCTTTGAACAGAATAATATTTTTTAATAAAGAGAGAATGTCAATCACTTTTTAAATTCGATTTCAAAGTTTCTATTCAAGCAGTATAGACTAACACAAAAGGCAGATAGTTTGCTGAATATGTAAAATTATACACTTGACCCTTGAGAGCTAGTAATAATGATAATAATAGTCATATGTATTCCTAATATAACCTGACATTCTGGTTTAAACGTAATGATACAAAACAATAGGAACGCATTAGTTACGCAAAATTTTAATAAATCTGCTTTATTATTTACGCAAATCAAACGCGTTTAGCTTACAATCTTAATTGACAAACTCAACAATGTTGTTGGGCTTAGCACGTAAAAATAAATATATTTCTATTGAACAGAATTTAAGTGCAAGAGTGGTGTTGACGTCTTGGTATATTCTGTTTTTGAATGAAAAACTCTGAAGAGTCAAATGGGAGTTTTTGAAATTTCTCATTATTCGATAATCCAATCTCAATAACAGACTTTTAGTGAGTTCAAATATGATTTTTACTACAAGCATAAATGGATGGCGAACCAAGAGGGTTACGCATATGACAGAGTTTTTGACTAAAGAGTAATCTCATCGTGAGGTTGAAAGAACGTTAAAAGCCAGGAACTGAGATGCCTGTACTATTCTACGTTTAATTCAATCATCAGCGGCATATAACCGAAGGCCATTATGTATTTGACAGGTTATTACTTCGGAATTTATTGTTCTTTGCGTTTTTATTCCACTCAATCCATGATGTAGAAAGACAGCCCCATAAATCCGTATTGTAGACTAAGCAAAGACTGTAAATACTTATTCAATCCTCTTACAGTTTTCGAGACAATTAAAATTATCTTCAGGTACAATCAGCTTCCTTCTAAACTTTCAGAATTTAAATTTACCTGCTAATGGCATGATTTTTATAGATTTCACTTCTTATTTTGTCAGGCTTAGGAAGTAGTTTAACTTTTACAGTCTATATTATCTCCATTGGTATTTTACTGGGAACACAAGGTTCTTTATAAACAATAAAATGAGTTACAGGTGTGTCAGACAGTTAGTAAGCAAGTAGACATATTTAAACAGCGCAAATATCTTGTTGACAGTTGCAGACAAAATAAACTAATACAGTTAGAGAAAAGCACGCAGTTAACTCAACTGAATATAGTTTAAGAACTGTCCATCATATTAGGCCTAAACAATAAATGATGGAGACAATGATAACTACAATTATGGTAAATGAGACATAAGACTACAAAAAAGAATCCTCTAACACAGTGGGAAATATTTTAGGTGGAGCCATAGAGTTTGTTGTCGGACCAGCAAGTAGTTTTTACTTGATCTCTAGACTCATTTAAAAATTCAAGTTATTTTAAGTAATCATCATTTTGTGGAAAAGTTTGAAGAGTATTTGGATCTTTACTTCCTGAACACAAAGAGTCTCAAGGCTATTTCCTAAACACAGTACAGTTCTACAAAAATGAGCTCACTTAAAATTTTGCGCTTTATGAGAATAAAGATATTCACACAAAAACTTTCTACGCGAATTCGAGATTTTAATCGTTGCAAGAAAGTTAAATAGTTACTCGTTTCCAGCAACCGCCGAACAAAAAAATATTTTAAACAATCTTGAATCTAAATATTCGTACCATAAATAAATAGGAATTTTCGGTAAAGTTAAGCTCATGATTGATTTTTAAAAATGACGTATCACATAATAAAAAGTTAAATTCAACGCTTGTTATAAGCTTGGTGGTAACCCACCTACGTTTACCTAACAACTTATTTAGTAAGAATTAACACTATCTAGGTGTTTTTTATTCCTAAGAAAATAGTGTTCCTATCAACGTACTGGATTTCAACATAAGACCGATAAACACTACATTGTTTTCCATCGTCATTTATAAAAAAAGCTTATTAAGTGGATTTTTTGTTCAATGAACCACATTCACTGATGTAAATTGTTTTAGAAGTTAGGGACTGTAAGTCTGTCAACAATGAAATGACTTCACTTTGACTTACGCTGCTATTCATCATAAATAGTATTTAATTAAGTGAAACTGAATATTGTAAAATCATTTCTGACAGTAGGTAAGCTATACAGTTCAACTAATAGATAAGTTCGCAGCAAACAAAACAGGTTTTGCCTCTATATGTCATCATAATGTGTTGAAAATCTATAATCTTGAACATTTTACTTAAATTATTGACCATGAAATTTTTGTAAAGCATAACAAGTTCCGTTTTGGCATGAATTTTGTACTATATTATATAAAACCAGTGAAACAGTTTACAAAAATATGGCTCTCGTCAAAGGTTTTGTTTCATCAATATTCAACGTGCGACAACATGGTTTTAATTGACGGCTTTTTATTGTTTCTACTTAAACAAAGAGTATATTGGTGTTACAAAGGCGTTATGCTTACATAAAAACAGAACTCTAACTTGAATAGCAAGGCATCATATTTAATTATTCCAGATTTTGGAATTTACAGGAGCTTCTCCACATTATTGAATGTGCAGAAAATAAACTTGAAGATGTTTACTTTTCACACCGTTAAAAGATGTGGTCATTTTTATTTTTCTATACATCAGATTTGACCCCTCATAATACATAAAGTTAAAAGTTTTGAGCTCTTACTAACAGTCATGGACCCCAATAAAGTTAGACATCTGCAAGCTTTCAAGTCATCTGAGTTTTTCAACTCACACGGACAAGGGAGTTCTAAAAAATAGATCAAATTCACAGACAGGACAAAATTAATTTAAACGAATACTACATTACAAACGCATTTGATTAAAAATCGCCTTCCGTCGAACAAGAGTGAATTATCAAGCAGGCGGTTGAAGGTACATGATTGGTGGTCTATATCACTCGAGGGGAAACAGGTGTAAATAATTAGGTAAGATTGATAGTTTAGAAAAAAGATCATTACAAAAGATGTGAAGACTCTAACCTGCTAAACTGATCGGCGTTAGAATAGTGAGTCAAATAAATGTATTTACGAGCATGCCATGAACAGGAAAATTTTGTAAAAGTTGGAATTGAGTTCAAAGTAAAACTTTTATGAATATCTAATATTTACTAACACAGATATCATGAATCTTTAATAGAAAAGAGCATACAATAAAGAGTTACACTTATTTTGGTAATTTTGAAAAAGCCTAAGAAGTACTGAAATATATTTTGGCCAAAACTTGTTATGTCAATCATATAAAACAGTAAGAAATTGCAAGATAATAACTTACCCCAACCGGAATTCATGAATCTGAGAGCTCCGATTGACTGCTACTCTCAGAGAAAATTCGTGGTTTAAACGGAAGCCTGAGATCCCTATTTGAACCAGTGATGCATTTGAAACTCCATAGTTAATATTATTCCACTCGAAATCAGGCTTCTGGATTGCCGTAACTGGAGGAAGTACTTGTGACTGATGAATCAAAGAGTGCGTTATATCCGACCGTTCTACATAATGAAGATAAGGTTCCGTATAATTAGCTTGATAAGCCGTTGCGTTATATTTAACCAGTATGGTCAACGATTCGGTCATATGTGCACGAAATTGCATTTTTATAAAATCTAGATCAAGTTTAGCTGCGCATTCAGTTTCATTAACAGTTCGGATTGTACATGATGAATTACTAAAGACATGCAAATCAAATGACTGGATATATACACGGAAAGAACAGAATATGAAGGTGTTTTGCTGCGCAACAAGATAATTGTTTTCAAGTGAACAAAGAGCATACAAAGGTGAGCTGTGGGTCTTGTATACAAAAATTATGTGGGTATTTAGGAATACGTTTATACTGGCCATCTTGTAAAAGTGAGTGGAATTGTATGACCCCAAATGTGCTATGATAGAGCCCTCCATGGCGGGCTGGATAAGAAAGAAAGACTTCTCCTGAGTATTATTCGAACTATAAACTTCGAATGCCAACTCATTTGGGTCAGTATAAATGTCCGGAGATATTCCTACCAGAAGACAGATAAAAAAAATTGTAAACAAACCTGTCGACCTTCTTATCAGAAGTATTAAATTTAACAACAGCAGTAATCTCGCTGTATGCAGAACCGAACACATTACATCACATAAACCCAAAACCCATTTCAATTACCGCGCAACCTTGAAAAATTAAACTAGATTCCACCAATATAGAATAAACCACGGATAATCTGATGTGATAAAATAACATAAAATTGGCCATTATATTCCAACGAAAAGATTGTAGCTGCTCTTTATAACTCAATTATGTTCATTCTATTACTAATTATGCGTATATTTTCTAAACATTCTCAAAAAATCTTGTCACGTTTCATAATCAAATAACAAAACGTTACCGATCACTCTTGAGGACTGTAGGAAGCCCAGCCTTTAGACCATTTAGTTTTAGTCTCACAATTTTCAAATGTTATATTAATATTGCAAGAAACGTTTAGACATTGATCTTGATACTTTGCAGATTTAACCCTAAAGATGGAAAACAGAAAGGCCATCCATGTTTCTGTAGGTTTTCACAGTATGTTTTCATGTTTACTACTGGTGAATTCACAGGAAGCGTACACAGGATATGTTAATGTAGTTGGTTTCGAGACCTGATTTGGGGGTGGGGAAACATGTACCATGAGAGATCATAGTTCGTTCTTGACATCAGGTACTCTCGTTGTTTCAGGTGATTTATTTAGGTACAAATAGAGTAACAAAAGAACACTGACCAAGTCTAAAGTTAATTGACCCCTCTATTTACTAAAGCATTTTGTGAAGCTACTAAAACTTTAGGACTTTGTTACAAAGTAACCCTAAACTACAATTTACCACTTGAATTTCAAGATCCTGCTGTAGTGACATAAATTTATATTTCTTCACTATTAAACATTGCATTTTGACGTTGATATTGTGCGTGAGCACTAGAGGTTTGATTATTACAAGTCACGAATTAACATATAAGATGAACATATAATTATCATTTTAGATAATGAACTCAATTCTAGGATCCAAATGCAATAATATAAGTAGATCATCGCTGACCACAATGAGTCTATCTGTCAGTTAAATAGGTTAATTAAAGTCCTTAACGAACGTTAACACATACAAGCTTAAATATGGCTCTAACAAACATCTAAGTGAAAGTGTCTGTTATCGACACTGCCACAGTCTATCATGGAAACCTATGAACTCAATTAAGAATACGACGTAACCTTTAAGAGGGGTGCACCAGTTCAATGATGTCAGTGCGTATGTATTTGAATTTAGCATCGAAGCTGCGTCCTTGTGTCCAGTTACAAACATCGCGGCTCAAGTACAGACTTTGTAACAGACTAGCTTGACCGTGGCCTTTTTCCGGATACAATATATATTACGGGTGGTTTTCAGCAAATTATATGCCAGTCACTTCAGAGGAAAGACGTTTACACTCTGTTTAAAATCACACATTAGATTATTATCCCCAATTTAGCTTCTTCGCATGCCAAAAGAGTCATGCATGGGAATCTTGATTTGTTCAACTCAATTCATCCAGGTTGTTATACAGTCAACTTGCGATATTCGGTTTTATTTCGCGTGAAAACATTTATCATTTCCCCAAACAACCCATCTTTTGCTTCATTCTTATAGTATGCTAGAAGCAAATATGGAGACAAATCTAAATTGCTGAACTCCCCCGGGTGAACCATTATTTTGCCCATACTTCAGTCCCCTGTAATAGACTTTTGGTCTGTATACTTTGTGAGAATGCAACCTTATATTAAGTATCAAAACTTTTTGACTGACAGGTTAGTCGCTGAAACTTCACTTCCTAACGTATTGTAACTCATCTGTGTAGGATCTAATCTATCGGAAAAAATCAGAAAAGTTCTTATATGGTGTTTAATAAGTGCTGAAATGCGGATCCAACTGGGACACGTCAGTCACAATTTATAAGGCTATCCAACGTATTCTCAAGCTTCAGAGTCTCTTTGTTTGCAGCTTATCCAATGTTCTTGAATACTTATATAGCCTCTGATGAGAGATCAAATGTACGAAAGTGTACTTGTGGTGGTATTCGCCCTTCCCCATACGACCCTTGAAACCAAATTTACGACATCAATCTTGAACTCTCACAAGATTTTCTTCGATCGCTGCTTTGCTTCTGCACAGTTTTGTTCAAAAGGTCTGTGATTTGTTGACTCAAGAAGACGTGACAAGTCATCAATTAATTGCGTGTGCTCTCGATAATTATCTAGTGACTTAACCTATGAACAGTCAAAAGCTTTGTCTTAGTCAATCCGAAGGGATAAACCACCTTTCACATCGCTGATAAAAACGTGAATATACGGTATAATATATCTATGAGCCGGTTTTTGTCTGATAAGAGGTCAACCGTTTCCACATGGCCCAATTTTTTCACCGTTTTCGGGGTGCTAGACAACCCTGCTATGCCTAAATATTTCAGCTTACTGTCTACCAACCTTAACTTCTCCCGGTTCAGTCATAGAGAGCATGTGTCAGCAGGTTGCCTTTTTTTACCATAGGGTTTTTGACAATGTGCATGCGATTTTCATCATTGTGTGGCATTTTTTCACTACAGCGAAATTTGCTGACGACAGGTTGGCTATATCTGTAATTCTAAAATTCCATGAGAGCCTGGCATTGTGCCTGGGGTCAAATAATGTCAACCCAGATTTGCATATCGGTTTTGCTGGCTCCTCTCAAGCTCAATATTGAGCCGTGGTGTTGTTTACATTTGTTTGTCAAGCGATTGCTGTTTATGTTCCGTACGACCTCGTGTACAAACAACGAGGACCTGTCACAGAGTCGTACCGGTGAAGGCAGCAGACATCCTGACTACCAGCCGAGTCATTTTCTTCTCGCGACCTGATGAAATTGCGAGGCTGTTAATAGCGTTTATTTCGATCATCAAACGTTTATCGAGGGACTCAGATACGTTTTTCTTAACTGTACCGTTTGGCTGATATCCTTAGTTGTAGAATGTGCTGTATTACTTGTAGCACAGATTTGTGTATCACTGAGACTGCTATCTGCTTCATGATCATTTTGTTACCTGTTATTCAACATCAACTCCATTAAATACAGGCATTAACCTTTCAACATTTTTTGTGAAACATTGACTTCGTCGAGCTATTCCTATGGAGCACATCCATTGTTCTCAGGTACTTATTGTCAGCCATTTTTAAGATACACTTGATATTAGCACCACTGTCTCAGGCTCTTGAAATCACTTGCACACCTAGGTAGTCAACGTAGCCACAAGTGGTCAGATAAACTACCATCATCCTTCCTGATCACAAGTGAACGTCTCGTAAGATTTTTCATCTGACATGAAATTATGTCACCTATCTGCATTTAATTAGGAAGTTGATCAGTGGTTTGTTTGTCGTATATGTAACCCATATTGACAGAATTAGGTAGTATGTAATACCAATCAGAAATAGGATGCTTGTCCAAGGAAGATTGAAAAGAATGAATTAAAGAGAATAGAAAGGAAACAGAATAAAAGTAGGATCGAAAGAATCATGAAGGATGCTTAGGACAACCGGAAAACGTTTACACGAAAATTTGTCAATATTAGAACGAGAAGTTTGACAAAAATTGGGCGCCGAGTATAAAGAAATCATTTTATGTGAAAATAAAATTTAAATTTTAATCGTTGAGATTGTTTCAAATATGACTTCCACATGTAATGACAAGTGATTGAAGATATGCAAATAATGCATGGAAAAAGATATTTAATGTGAATAAAACAGATAAATTACATAAGAATAACTACGCCTGAAGGGCTGAGCCATGGCATACGACTTAATAATATTCTCACGTTTACCAATGTTGGCCTTCGCTCCGTGTTAAATGTTGAATACCTATTTTCTCAGCTATCTCATGTTCACCTTTGAGGATTGCGTGGTTAGAAACAATAGCACTACAAGGTTCGTGATTCGTTATTTTCCAATCATAGTACAGCACTCAGTACCACCTCTGTACGATCATAAAAAGTTATCATTTTTTAGAAATATTGGTGGATCTAGCATTTTAGATCCCTAGGTCGGAAGGTGTAACGAATCAGATATCTGGACAGGGCTACCAAGTTTCTTATGGTCTTGTTATAACACTCGATTTCATTTCGTCTAGTGTTATAACGGTTGGGTTTCCGCGTTTACACTTATGGGACGTTAATTTACCTGAGACGGATATCTATGAAGAATGAATAATGCTCAGGACAAACACGCATCGTTCAACTTATGAAGAAGATGTAACTGCATTATGTGGCACTTATAGCAATGCTTTACACAGTTCCTGCACATAATCAGAGTTAGGGGAATAGGCTGTAAACGTCAATTGTTACTCATAATTTCTAAGACACCGGACATAATAATATGTCAATACAGTCGAAAACCATGATAATTGTAATGGATAGAACTGTTTGCGGCTGTATATCAGTAACTTACATGGCATTCAAAAGTAGTTTTACACCTAATATCTACCAATCATCGAATATCCATAAGGCGCATATACCTGCATAGTGCGTGCTTCCTGTTAGTGAAAATCGATCATCTATCGATGATCTAGTCTTGCGGATTATACGTTATTTAACTCCAAGAACTGTCTTATACAATTTTTTATAACTCCAGTACTGCCGGTCTTATTGCTGAGTTCCATGGCCAGAAAGGAGATATGTATGCCAGAAATTGAGCGGCCTGCTTGAATATCTGACCGTCCTGTTTCTACCATCTAATTATTTCAACAACTTATCAGTTTTTCATTTTGTTTTAACGTCTCATCCTGTCCATTAATCGCATAGACTATACAGGCACGTTTATGAAAGGCCTACGACCAATATCTACAGCACACTCTGCCTGTTAAGTCACGGGTTTTTGCGCACATGTAACATATTGTCGTGGATTTTTTGTGTCGTTATTTATCAGCTATTAACAGCCTTTTTTCCGTCACACGTGAATTTTCGTAATGCTTGTGCTTGCAGCATAGTTTTTATTCCAATTTATAGGCAGTTTGACGTATTTCTTGCTCACCACCTAAGTAAATCTGTAGTTACCGTAATATGGTTATTTTTAATAATACAAAGTCAAGCAAGTAAAACACCATTTTTCTGGTCGAAAATAGATCACAGATTGAGTTTTCATGAAAATAAGCCGTAAAACCCACTATATATGGTTCACCTCCTTGACTATGGT